TATATATATATATATATAAATCTACCCTAGAACACTATGTTACAAGCCTTGGTCCCCATGCATGTGTTATTAATGCTTGAGACGCCAACTAAACAGTAAACAAAGACCCCAGGGTTTTTATTTTTGTAAACAAAAACCCTAAACCCTAAACCCTAAACCCTAAATAAAGACTAAAAGAGAAAAAAAAAGAGTTTCGGTAAGCGTTTAAAACGGAAACATTGGGTACAGTTTTCCCAAAGGCATTAGACTATACAGGCGGAAGGCGGAAACAAAATATAAACAGGGCAGTCGTGAGGCTGTGCATGACACCCGTAAATAAACTAGAGCAGATACTGCTTCTGTAAAACTATATACAGCAGCATGCAGCAAGGCAACTGGTCCTGCTGCTTGCTGGAAGGGGCCAAAATTGTGCGGGCACATTCGGCACAAGAACGGCCACACTAAAGGGTTATAAACCGCCAAAAGAATTCCCTTTTATACACACATACACACACACACACAAAAACACACACACTCAGCAACGCAGATGCATGCACACACACACACCGTAGGGATGGTTGTCGCTGTGCAAACGCATCAGTAAGCGTGGTTTTTCATGCATATTTCTAGCGACTGCAAAGGGGAGAACATGCAGATCAACCGACTGGAAAACTAGGGCAGCAAGCACTGTGAAACAGTATAAGAAGGAACCTAATATGTCGGTGTCGTCAGTAAGTGAAGCTTTCGCATAAGGATGCAACTCGATCACTCTGCTGCTGGCTAATGCAGAAACGTACAAGGCGTACTTACTGCACAACAGGAGCATGAGCCAAAAGAGAATGGATTGAGAAGAGCTGTATACAGCACCTTTTCTAGACAGGCAACGACCCTGCTGGCGATCCATTATTATATATATATATATATATATATATATATATATATATATATATATATATATATATATATATATATATAGCTACAGCCAGAACGTGGAAAGCCAGAAGCACCGCTTAATTGGAAAAGCTTACAGATGACAAGCAACACAGATTGGCATCGAAAGCAAGCCAGAACCGCTACCCTGTATTCTTTCTCGCCACCCGCCACAGTACCGTAGCCCCATAGCTTTGACAGCCCCTGATTGTGATAAACACTTTATGAACAGCTACACTCTATAGACCTGAAACGCGTCACGCCAATGCTCACTTTCTGTGCAGCGAAACAAAGAAATATGAGCTGTGAACATTTCCTTTGGTTGCGTGGGAACCACTCGAACGCCAAGTGAAGGGCGCGAATACTATCTGGGTATTTGCAGCTGGCCTGATCTTATCCATACATAGCCGGGTTGGGTGGCGCAGCACATACCTGAACAGCTACTGCTGCTCATCAACTCAGAGAAACCTCAGTTCACGAAAACCTAAGCCTTCGCAACACAAAAAATAAACACATAATGTGCAACTTTCACAACACCTCTACCGGCACCTACGAGTAACAGCCTGACAGGTACTACAGCAGCTCCTTCGCTTCACCGCTGCCAGCGGCTCCTGACGAGCCGTTCGCAGCAGCGGCCTTTGCCGTTACATCGAGCTATGCAGCAACCAACGCTCTGCTCAGGATTGAAAAACTCTCCCCCCATCACTCACATCCTGTAC